AATTTTACTCACTAAAGGGAGTATTGGAAATTATTTAATTTAGTCACTGTTAATTTTAATTGGAAAATTAATTTTCCAATTAAAATTAACAGTGACTGGTAGATGAGTAAAATTTGAAACACATATTTGTTGAATGCCATACAGATAGGTACATATATTAAGTAGAGGACTAATATGCAATCCCACTTAAAAGGTGAGATTATCTCTTTCAAACTTTTAGGGTTTATATTGTAATGTTTATAATTTAAAGCTTTAAGTAACAATGTGACTGATTTGAAGAGATTAATATAGCTGGTAACCTAGAAACAACTAAGGCTTTCTGCTATCATTTAGGTCACCTCATCTTTTAATGGGCCCCATCCAGGCATTTTGGGAACTGTGCTGATGCATCAAATGAATCATGAAGATGGAATTCTAAACCCACATTTCATGTTGTTTACATGATTTAATCCACACTATTGGGGCTTCAGAAATCTGTTTATTAATTTTTTAGAATGAAGAAAATACCAACATCATAAGGGGAGCCAATGCTAAGAAAAAATACATAAATCCTCTCAAGAATACCCACATCTATCTAAATCAGTATTCAATTTCTAAATTTTAATCAGAGTTCCTAAGCAGACAAATGCACATAGAAAAAAATAATAATTCTCACCCAATTGCCCTTTTGGAATCACTTGTCAGATAAAAATAACCTGCATTTAAAATTTTGCCCTTTCTTGACAATTTTTAAATACATTATTATCTTATATTTTGGGTTATGAATTATCAAACATTCAATTAAGTTATTCACTAATTCATTCATGAATGCCTACTATGTACCTGCTATAACCCTTTGCTAGGTACAATGTCTAAAAAGACATAGTCTCCACCTTCATAGTGTGTATCTCATACAATCATTTCTCTCAACTGTAGAAGATATGACAAAATTGACTTCCTAGGCTTATAAAGCAGGAGCTCAGTCACTGAATCCTTGCTTACCCATGTGGCTAAATCTGAAACTCAGTCAACCAATCTCTTTGACACTGGTATTTAATTACCACATCATGTGATATGGATGAATGTCCACAGGAACAGTAAATAGGAAATTATTTGGCAGAAAAGCATAGTAAATCATAGGTATTACAATATGAAAGAGAATTCATATTGAATTACAGGACTACAAAGGTCCTTTAACAGTCTCAGATGTTTATCCAGAGAAAAGAAAAAAAATAAAATTGATTATTTTTATTAGTGGTTCCAAGATTTCAACAATGACATTTTTTCCCCATTCTTTATACTATACGATCGTACAAATCTTCTCTCTTACAGTGCCTAAAAACAGCAACTCTGGATTCAAATAAACACCGCTATAACTCAGGGTAGGTGTTCTGTCTCCAGGTTTCAATGTATTACAATCAGAACTAAATTTTTCTTTTATCTCCCACCAATACAATAAAAACACCCCGCCACACATCTTCAGGGATTAGCTAGTCAAAACAAATGGACTTTCTCTGCCTTATTCCATTAAACCGCTCTCTATATCCTATCTTTTTTTAAGTTTTGCCCTTTCTTAACCTACAGATCTACAACTTATTTCAAATCACCTTTTTCTCATTTGGATGGAACTCCTTTGTCTTTGTGTCTCCTTCTCAGTCACTTTCTAAAAGTACATACTTCTTTAGGGTTCAGTTTCAAATTACTTTTCTCTTAGTCCTCATTCCTTGGACAATTTCATCCTTATGCAGATTTTATGTTGATGACGGCTATAATGATTTTTCTCTCCAAACTCTAAGTGCTTGTCTAAAATATCAGGTTAAAGCTGGGCATTTTTCCCTGAGATAATCCCTGGAACATAAATATCCAACAGAGAGTACTGAATATAGTTGTGATCCAAGAGCCCAAAATTTGAATTCCTCCTATTAGCTGAGGGAACATAGGTAAATCACTTATATCATTAACATTTATGTTTTCACTGATGAGTTGATAAATTGAGACAAAAGTACTATTTCCTTAATCTTATTATCCTATGCCCAGGAAAAGTGATCAAAGTGTTCCATGCTTTTATAATTATATCAAAATGGATTTTACTATCATGTGTAACTAAAAACAACCAATAGAAAAAGAAAAAAAATTGCTATTGAAATACTTTGCCAAAACACATTTTACTTTTTAATACAAACTTTCTCCTGCTTTTTCTCATCTTTCTCCCCCCCCAAAATCTATTCATTTTCTTTGCTCACCTTAAATAATAACCTACTATCTCCTTCCAATTATTTCCCATCCTAACTGGGTCTCTTCTTCTCTGAAATGTTCCTAGTCTAAGCCAGGTCTTCATTATTTGTGACTCAAATAATCATCTCTTAAATTTTCTCTCAGCTCCCAGACTTTTCCACTCATTTTTGTACAAAGACCAAGCATAATTTTAATATTTTAAAGCATAAATATTATAATCACAGACCTCCTTAAACAAAAATATTCAATAGGCAGGAGGCTAAGTATCTCTTCTCAGCCTGGGATTTATGGCACATCTCAGAATGTTCTATAAATGCTCTCCAGACATATATTCTTCTACTCAGTGTCACTGTGTTTATCTTCTAATCAAGCTAGAGTACAGAGATTCAAGTCTTGATCCTTTTCTCATGCTTTTCATCATGGAACCCACAATTCTTTTGTCCATCATTTATGCATATATAGTCCATCTGTGGTTGTTAATACATAGTTATTCCATTCTTCATTTCCCCAGCAGGAACTCATGCTATTAAAAGGCAGTTGTTCACACACTAGAGCACTTAATTAGGCGTGATTAGCTATATTATATAATTTAAGTCAGGGTAAACTAGTTGTTATTGCCTCATTTTACAGATGGGGATACTGAACATTTATAAAAAATCACATAGCTTGCTCACTCATCTAGACACTAAAAATGAAAATTTTAATCTAGCTTCTAGATTATGTCAATTAAGTTAAGCTGTGTGTAATTATTAAGATGATGAGGATTCCTTAATGACCAATTGATGTATCCGGATGTTAATTGAAACAAGCTGTGTATAATCAGTTAAGTGTATATATACCTCTACTGTCAGACAATAAAGGGCTCCCTCTTCTGCTTTATCAACCTTCACAAGTTGCTCATCATCTCCCGGTTACTTTGCTGCAGCCAGACTGCAGCACTAGCTGTTTAAGACTTCAAAGCCATTGAATTTTTTTTTCTCTTTAAGGTGGTTGCTTATGAACTGTTCAACAGATATGGAAATGCCAAGAGGTAATTTGAGTTACACAAAATGGATAGGAAAAAAGTAAACTCTGTAAGTTTACTTTTACTGTGATTCAAGACAAGCGCTTCTCTTAAAAGTAAGAAGTAATGTGAAATAAAATATACTTTGAGAAAAGACTTTTAAAGAGAACCTGAAATTCTTTCATAGGATCAATTAGACATTTTATAAACATGTTTCTCATGGCTTTTGAAAATTTAGAATTCTATTTTGTAGCAATTGCTAGTTGTTATGATTTGGATATGAGGTGTCCCCAAAAATCTCATTTGTGAGACAATCCAAGAAGGTTTGGAGGAGAAATGATTTGGTTAGAGCATTAACCTAATCAATGAATTGGTTCCTGATGAGATTAACAAGTGGTAACTAGAGGCAGATACCGTGTGACTGGAGGAAGTGGTTCATTGGGAGTATGGTTATGGGGTATATATTTGAATCTGGTGAGTGGAAATTCTCTGTCTCTGATTCCAGATAATCATGTGAGCTGTTTCCCTCTTCCACAGTCTTCCACCATGATGTTCTGCCTTACCTCATGCCCCCAGGAATAGAGCCTGCCTTCTAGGGACTGAGACCTCTGAACCCGCAGTCCTCAAATAAACTTTCCCTCCTCTACAATTGTTCTACATGTGTCCTTTAGACACAGCAGTGAAAAAGCTGACTAAAACACTAGTTACTTTTCATTTATCAGTTTAGACCCTAAAGGCAAATAATTAATACTGGCTTACTCAATTTTGTGCTGTTCAAAATACTAGCAACTCAAATATTTGTTAAATGAATCTATCTATGTATGTATGTTAACAAAGGAGTTATGTAAATAGAAATAAAACTATCACCCTTTATTTTTCACATAAAGTTCTGTAGGGGGTTTCTATATATGCATTTATCTAAGTCAAACATGAAGTGTTATTTTGCTCCTAGCAGTAGAGTGCAATATACACCTTAACTGAATGAAGCTAATGATATGAAATTCAAGTTTTGAAGCCACACAGAATCTCTAGGAAATAAATTCAATGCACTATAATTTGGCAGATAGACGGTAAGTTATATAATGTTCTGCCAAAGAATAGTGAAATCAGTTTTCTAAAATAAGTTATAGGGTACATTGTTATCCTGGTCTTCAGAACCTAATCAGACAATATAGATATTTACTGAACTGCTTTGAAATACACTTGAGAGTACAGGTAAGTTTTCTTTTTTTGTGTTTATTCCTAAAATTGAGTCCTGTATTTACCCTTATGTAGGCACTCCCATTAGTTATTTTGGAATTGACTACTGATATTCTTATAAAGAATAGTAATTTTATAACTAAAAACCAGCTAAATCTACATATTTCAAAACTATTTAAAAATAATTTTCAAAAAACTATATTTCCATTCTATATGTAATATGATTAAATCATTGAAAAGTAACTTTTATCCACAAGATAATCCCATAAATGTGATGAGTCATTTCAATGGGCTATGCCTCATAGAACATTGTAAATAAACTTGAAAGTCAAGTGTAAGAAAATAGATGTTTTGTTTCTGGTGGCAACACTGAAAAGGAAAATCATACTTCCTCCAACAATGCTGATCTAATTAAGAGCTGCTATGCATTGAAAAGGTGTATACTATAATGGTTTATGATAAAATATACAGAAAAGATAGACTAAAAAATCCATCACCCCCTCTCTTCTGTGAATATGAGACTTTTTTCTCACTTTTTCTTCATTTATAAATAGCATTACATCATAATAAAACATTCTAGAATTCTGGTATGTGGTACCCATTGCTGGAAAGATGCTTTAAATTCAACAGAAAGAGGAATATTCTGAATTTTCTAAGAAAATAAACTAATGTTTTAGAAAGAAGAATGAAATGTGGAACTGTAAGTGGGAAACAAAGTGAGAGAACTATGTTATAAAATTAAGTGGAAAATTTTCTTAAATAAATGGTTATTTGCTATAATTTTCTACCACCTGTGGTGAGGATATACAAAATGAGAGTGTAGAGGACATGTTTTGAGGGTCTTTCATATTCCTGAGGTTTTGAGGGATATGCAGCAATATTCCAGAAGATAAAGTAAAGAAAATGGTAGAATTTAACAAAGCATCATATGTCCAATAAATTGCCAATTGAAAGTGTTTGTTGGCAGGTTACATTAGCTAATATTGTATAAGACATTTCTGTAGGGCTTTATTGTTTACAACATGATTTCATTTAGTGATTACACATAAGTACGGAAAAAACATATAAATGAGACAGTGATACAGGTATAATTATATTGAATGAAAATTGTGACAAAGTTATACAGCAAGTAAATGGAATTGTTGGAATTGAAACCATGAATTTCCTCAGTCTCAGGCCCATTCCAAAACAAAGTTCTTTTACAGTCTCATCCTGAACTCATTCTGGAGTCAGTACCTGGATTTGAACTGCAGATCTGCCCTGGTAATGTGACACTGAACATATTATTTTAATTCTTCGAAACTGTTTCTACTTTCATACAACAAAGGTCATATCCCTAGCTTATAATCACATAAAATTACATATTCCATGTCTGTACTATATATTCAACTAATTGTAGATATTATTATTTGATCATCATTATGAATTTATTTTTATTTGAATAGATGCATATCTTTCAGAGGGAGAGAGAACGAATTATTCTTTTATGACTGCTAAAAATATTTCTAAAACTCTTTCAAGCTGTATTATCCTGCATATATCTGTTTAAGTTAACTCTCCCCTCTTTAACCAGCCTTTAGGTTCCTCAAAAATAAGTAAACGTTTATTTCTCGACTTTCAATATTTAGTTCCACAACTATTTAAAAGTTGAGATAAAATAAATTTGAGAGGAATAAACAAATTGTTATAAAAATCATGCAGCATAAAGCGTATTTTTATATTTTATATTTTAATTTACTTCATGAGCATAAATACCTAAGTCCTGCTTTTCCTGGAATATGCAAATTAGCTCATATTCCCCACCCTCATCCCTAAATCTGCCCCTACCATTGAAGGATTTATTCAATGAAGATTTTGAAAAAATATATGGTACAATTAATCATTTGTATAAAGTTCTAAATAGATGAGTAAAACTTGAACTTTAGCTATGAGTTTGAAATAAAAATTTTAAAGTCTCTAGAAAAAATTTGCTTTGTTCATTTTCTTTACTTTGCCGCCCAAAATAAACATACTTGTGTAAGCTACTAGTGGAGGCTAATATTCTAGATCAAAGTGAAGAAAACTGACAGAAATCCTCATTTTGACTCTTACACATGTAGTCAACTTTGCATCACTTTAGAAGTGACCTTTAATATGCTCTGTGGCATAAATAATTATGAGAGCTTATAATGTAATAATTTTTTGCTGGTATCTAATAAAGCCATTTTTTTGTTGTTGTTGTTACAGAGTTTTCATTAAAAGAACATAGACAATTGTGAAGTCAATGTAATAATGGCAAAGCAATTTAAAATTGCCTCAAATTACTAACAATATCCTAACTTATGCAGATCTCAAGCCTAAGATAATTTCCTTTTGCACTTGAGGATGTGATATGTTAATGTCCTATTAAATATCTCTTTGTAGGCACACAATCTTCCTTTATTTGTTCACTTTGAAATTTCTAATGTATATCCCAGTGGTAGATATTCAAATTAATGATGCTCTAAGCTAGGACAAATAAAAAAATAATAAAGTTCAGAATATGAACATGCATTAAGATGCTAAAATCAGAGAACTTAGTACAGTATAGACTGTATGAAGGAAAACATGGCTCAGAATTTTTAACTGCTTTTGTAATCAAGTATAATAAGGTTTGGACCTATTAAGGGGTCAACCTACTCTGGGAGTTTAAACTAGAAAATAGATAGGGGTCATTTCTTCACCAATGCTGCTTCTAACTTAAGTTATTTGGGGAAAGAAAGATACTAAGATAAACACTGTTCCATTTATATGTTCATGTGATTTAGTTGATCAAATTTATAAGTATCTTTACAAGCTGGAAGTAGAGTGCTTGTTGAGTAAGGAAAGTCAATGCAAATCTGATTAAAATAGGGTTAGGGACAAATGTGGAGTGAAATGTAGATGTGCCATTATGCACCCAGCTCTTAGGGTAACACAAAACTTATTGGGGGGAAAAGAAAGAACAAACCTTGATTATACCTTGGACTCACCATAATTTTTGTTAAGATACTGATTCTTGCTTAAATATTGGGGTTGAAGGGAAGAGATTTGGTAATTCTAAACATGAGCTGCTTGTGCTTAGGCGGACATGCCTTCTACAGAGTGAGACAGACCTTCAGAACACTGGCAGCTTGGGAGGATAGGTGTTGTGTTTGTTGGCTTTTTGAATGTTTGTGTTTTTATGTTGAGAATCTATAAGAAAATTGACCAAAAGATGAATGTTTTCACTCGCAGGACAGAAAGAACAAACCTAGATGTGCTAATTTTGTTTGAACATATTGGGATGGAAAAGAGACAAATTTTCTTAATTACTATCTGCCAATATTGGTTTAACTGTAAGTAACATGTTGCATTCTTCAGATTTATTTTCATTCCTGTTTTGCACACTATTTTCCATAGCACACAAACTAAGAAAATGGTATAAGCACAAAATAAAGAGTAAACTGTACAAAACATACTTCTCTATACAAGGAATTATTTCTGGTGTTTACCCCAATTTTCCCAAGCCTTTAAAGGAAATGTGCAGATACCTAAAAAAGAAACCCATGGATGGGTGTTTCAATCAATGTCACTAAAAAGTAACACAGCAGAAAGTTCATATTATGTTTTAATTCTCCAACATATTATGCATATTTACTGTAAGTAATAAGCAAAATTATGTAAAACTGAATTAAATGAGGACTAGGTATATGACAGAAGTTTACATTTATTTAAAATCATTTATACTTGATAAGTCTTTGTAATCCAGAAAAAGAAAAACTAGGCAAGTGTGTTTGTGCACATGTAATTTATAATCATAAAAATTAAAATGACCACTACTTATTTCTATAAGAATATTAGCTTTCTCTCAATTTTCAAATGAGGTCATTTATATTTTTACAATACAACTTTACTGATGAAAAGAACATAATAAGAATATTATTTTAAAAATTAAGCTTTTTTGACAATTCTGATGCTACCTAATGACTAAGTTTTTCATAAATTGACCCATCATCATGAAGGCCTCTAAGGTTTTAGAAGTTAAAAACTGTTTGACCAACAGACATGAGCACGCGAGCTCGCTCACACACACACACACACACACACACACACACACACAGATATTTAGGCCTACTAAAACTAAT